TCAGAATTGTAACAAATTGGAAAACACAGTGTCAAAATTGACACAAAAAAAACACGGTGTCAAAATAGAATTTCTGTGTAAAAAGAGTGTTTTTTGTGCCATTTACCCTTACTATAATCGGGTAGATATTACAATTTTGGGTACATTCAACGTAGTATAAGAAAAAAAATTAAATTTGGAGGTACAATGCTGTAATAGAAAGAAATGAAGGTAGGATGCTATAATACACAAATAAATAAAAGTATACTTGTTGCATTTAGCATCTTCTACAATATACAGGCTCTATTTATGGTTTGTTTGCTGTTTGATATGCCAGTTCATTTTCCCTCATCTTTGGCAGGTGTCATTAGATCTTGTTAAAAGCTTGTATGCAAAGTTCATTGATTGGGATATAAACAGATGATTGACCTGGAGACTGGCACTTCAGCCAATGCAACAAAGTAGAAAAGTGTAATTTGTTTATCATCTTTTCCAAATATGCTACGTCACCTTATTCAGTTTATTGCTATATTTTTTTATTTTTTTTTATATGGCAGCACAGCAATAAGTGAAGATCTGGGTCAAGTTGAGTACATACTGACAGATAAAACAGGGACACTTACAGAAAATAAGATGATTTTTAAGAGATGTTGCATTGCGGGGACATTCTTTGGTAATGAGAATGGAGATGCTGTGAAAGGTTTGTCTTTTTCTCCTAAGCTGTAATAATTTGATAGTAAAGAGGTATTACTTGAAATTGAGATGGCAGAGAAGAAAGACAAGGAAAGCTTTAATAAGTTTCTGGAACCAAATCATATATATATTATATATATATATAATTATATATAATAATATATATATATAAACCCTAATAGAATAACTTACATACCTGATACATACAATAAAGGAACCACAACCTCCTCGATCTTCTTCAGGTATTGGAGTGAACAACTGAGATGAATGATATATATATATATATATAATATAATTATATATATATATATATATATATATAAGGAAGTAGGGATCTAACCGGTTCTATAACCGGAATAACCAAAGACCGATTAAGGAGTGAAGGAGGAACTGAGAACTGGACCGAATACCACTAAACGGTTCTGGTTCTGGTTCTGGTTCTGATTTGGTTCTACTAGAAAGTGTGCCATCTAAGAAGGTGTTCGGTACCGGAACCGAGATAAGCGCGAACCTTCCCGGAACGATACCACTTATCGGTTCCTACCAGTTTGGTTTTTCGGTTAAAATGTTCATCCCTATAAGATAAGGATTAAGGAAGCGAGAGAGAAAGACAAAATGCATAAAGATGATAGAATGACTTAACAGATAAATCAGGGAAAGGAATGGTCTCTTTATAAAGTCCTAACTTTTTACAAATTTTCCATCATCTGTCTCTCCTTTCCGTTTCCCCAAATGTGATGAAATTTTCCAAAAAAAGTATTTAAGTGTTTCATTATTTATAGTTTATTATTATTTGCGTATACTTCTATCAAATGTTTTTTGTTTTTTATTTTATCATATAGTTAAAAAATCAATATGGTTAGTGAAATATTAAATAATTAATACTTAAGCATTTCTATAAATTTATGATTTTAGAACACATTATTTAGTTATTTCCTTTATGTAGGATTACTTTATACTACGTACTCTTGCTTTCTCATTAAAATTTCTTTCAATGTACTTTTTACAGATGTGGAGCTTCTCAATGCCATCAATACTGCTTCACCAGATGCTATTAGATTTCTGACGGTTATGGCAATATGTAACACTGTCATTCTATCAAAAGGTTATTCCTCATTGGCTTTTTTTTTTTTTTTTTTTTTTTTTGCTGGCTAGATGCAAGAAATAGCGATATCTTACTATTACCAACATTGTACTTTGCAAAGTCCTCCCATTTAATTTATATCAATGACAATGTACTTCCAGTTTTCTTCTTGATAGGAGATTGTAGTCTTGAATATGTACCAATTATAGCAGTGAAAATTGCTTGGTGACATTGCTATAATCGGGTAGATTTTTCAAATTATGATGGTGTAAGTGTAATAGGAGGAATAAAAAGTATGATGCTATAATAAACAAATGAGGTGAAAGTGCTTTGCTTTTTCTTGCATTTCACTCTTGTTTCGCCAAGAAAGCTGCATTTTGGTTTTTGTGTTTTCTGCATGATGTAATTGTACCTGAAACAAATAATTACAGCCCAAGCGGAACGGTCTCATATAAGGCACAGTCGCAGGATGAGGAAGCTCTAGTGCGTGCAGCTGCTTCCTTGCATATGGTTTTTGTTAACAAGAATTCTAACATACTTGGTATGAATTCATCCTTGTTCCTTTAAATGAAATATTTGAATTATGCTAGTAATTTAAAAGAAAATACTATGTGTGCAGAAATAAACTTTAATGGGTCGTTAAAGCAGTATGAGGTGCTGGAGTACCTGGAGTTTACCTCTGATAGGAAAAGAATGTCGGTGGTTGTTAGAGATTGTGATAAGGGGAATATTATGCTTTTGTCGAAAGGAGCAGATTGAAACTATTCTTCCATGTGCATATGCGGGTAAGCATTCCGTGTTCCTCGTGTTGGTCATAAATCATAATATAAGTTTTTTAAATAGCTACTTGTAAAATGTGGCACTGGCAGGACATCAAACCAAGACATTTTCTGAAGCTGTAGATCAATATGCCCAAATGGGGCTACGGACTTTGTGCTTGGCTTGGCGTGAATTAAATGAGTTGGAATATCAAGATTGGTCTGTGATGTTTAAAGAGGCTAATAGCACATTAGTTGACAGAGAGGTACAAATAAATACATACGTACATACATACAACATAAAGACATCATCACATGCTTTTGCTTGACCTGGCAGCAAGCATCCATAAGTCAGGTCCATGGGGCTGGTTGGTTGGGTGGTGTAAACCATTATATTTTTATTATTTTATATCTTGATATTGTCTGTTCATTTTTCTTTTTCACATGATCGGTTTATTTTTGTAGTGGAGAGTAGCTGAGGTTTGCCAAAGATTGGAACATGACCTTGAAATACTTGGGGTTGCTGCGATAGAGGACCGTTTACAGGTTAATCTTTATTTTCTTTGAAGCAGATATAGTTAGCTTGGCAGCTGAAATGCAAGAAATAGGAACATACATACATACTATAAACAAGTAGACTTTTCAACGTACAATGCTCTTATTTTGGCAACCCAACCCAAGAAGCATTATAGTTTTTGTATGTCGCATATTTTTCAGGATGGTGTGCCAGAGACGATTGAAACCCTCAGAAAAGCTGGGATAAATTTCTGGATGCTTACTGGTGACAAACAGAATACCGCTATACAGATTGCTCTTTCCTGCAATTTTGTTTCCCCAGGTACATATTTGTTAAAATTATGTAGTGAAACCTTCACCTTCACCTTGCTTGATATCAGAACATGAACATGAACATTGATTTTCTAGACTTCTAACGGAACTAATCTCCATTACGTTGATTCATATATGCCAAGGCATCTGCAAATATTTCTCACTTGTGACTGGTGATTGATTGTACTTTGTAGTGGGAACTGGGAAGGGATCATTCTCTTACTCATATCTAGATATACCTAAACCTCAAAGGAACATGGGTGTTCTTCTTTAGGGATTGTTAAGAAGGACTTGATATGCATAACATGTTGTGCCACTTTTGGTGGGATGGAACCAGAAGCAGGACCAGTCTTTTTTTTTGTGCAAAAGACGTGAATGCCCTCATCATTGAAAATAGCCCTACAAAGCTTGTCCTGTCCGTCCTCTCCTATCCTGTGTGTGCAACAAACACAGTCTTTATTGGATAATTTCAATGGCTTTGCTTTTATAAGAAAAAAAAAACAAGTATTTTAATCCATATTTCTCCGTTACTTTTTTCTTTTCTCTGTTCTTGAATGCATATCACACACAGAAACCTCTATACATATATACACGAAAAGGTTTTCTATCGACAACCTGGTTTTCAAGAAAAAAATTACCTTGGATCAAAGTTTTGTCCTTTAATTTTGGACTGAAATTAGTAGGATTCCTAAAGTCAGAAAATGACTAAAGTATGTTACCTTTATATGAAATTTGAAAAAATGGAAGTAAAAGAAAAACATCAGAGTAAACTATTTCAACTATCATTGTTGTAGTTTTATTATAAACTACCCGTTAGAAGTTTTGTAAAAGCAATTGACATTTGGTATAGTATATACTATATATGCTGGTTTACAATGAAACTACAAGTGTTTTGGTTAAAAAATTAGTTTTTTTTAGGGATTGAGAAACCACTCAACAAACATAGTCATACACATATATTTGTGTGTAGAATTTGAATCACAATTCACAAATAGTGATAGATGCGTACTTGGTGAAAGATATAAAAAACAAGTTGGAAAAAAGCTCTGTTAAGTGCCTTGCTCTCCTATGATGGTAATGCATTACTTGAGAGCAGCAAAGCCACTAATGTCTCCAAATTTTCATTGATTAGACTCTAAAGCCTGCACTGCACTGCACTCTTTTGTTGTTACATGTCAGATATTTTATCCTGAGCTATACCTGAAATGCAAGATATAGCAGTGTACTTTCATTTATACTTGGTTTCTTTTTGTTACAGCTTAGTACTTGGATTTTTTTTTCTTATCAAGGCCAATGTTGTTTGAAAATTTTGCCCAATGATAGCATTGTACTTTATTATTGCTATTATTATTTTGCTTATTAGGGACATTATTATACTTTTGAGTTATAACAGTAAAAAATGCTTTTTTATTTGGATGATAATTGGGTAGATGATCCTTAGATTTTTCAAAGTACAATGCTGTGCCTGGAAAGAAATCAACAAAATTATGTTGTTATTAATTACCTTAAGTATCTTGAGTAGGAAGGATGAGTTAAATTTTAGAATTTATGATTTTTCAAATTTCTTTCTGTACTTGTAGAACCCAAAGGGCAGCTTCTGTTAGTTAATGGAAAAACAGAAGATGAAGTTTGCAGAAATCTGGAAAGAGTTTTGCTTACAATGAGGATAACAAAAGCAGAACCTAAGGTAAGAAATGAGTTACATTTATGATTTATTATTGATGGTTGTTGTGTTTGATTTAATTAGAAGGCATTTATGTATGTATGTATGTATGTATGTTGCAGGATGTGGCTTTTGTGATAGATGGATGGGCTCTTGAAATTGCACTCAAGTATTACCGGAAAGCATTCACAGAGTTGGCAATATTGTCACGGACAGCTATATGTTGTAGGGTTACACCATCCCAGAAAGCACAGGTACTAGTTTGTTTGTTTATAATTATTATATTCTGTGATTGGACTGGTACTAAAGCTCTTTGTATTGTAGCTTGTAGAGCTTCTTAAATCTTGTGACTACAGAACCCTGGCCATTGGGGATGGTGGGAATGATGTGAGGATGATCCAACAAGCTGATATTGGTGTTGGCATAAGTGGGAGAGAAGGACTACAGGCAGCAAGAGCAGCTGATTACAGTATTGGGAGTAAGATAGATCTACTACTGCATTTTTATTTTTCTCTTTTAGCCAGCAATACGATTACGAAATGAAAACAACTAACTGAATGGAAACAAATACCATTTTCTTCAATTTCATTCCTTACCAACCTTCCAATTGTTTTTGTTTTCTCATTCCATTGTGGAAGTGGAACAACATTATAATTTGCAATATCACCCAACTCCCTCCCGTCTTTATTCATTTATTTATCAATTCATGATTCATGATTTCAATTATATTACCATCTTATTTTCTAAAAATAGCTAGAATATATATATATATATATATATATATATTATATATATATATATATATATATATATATATATATATCTTTTACTAAATACTTATTTGGGTTTAGGTGAACATTTAATCTATTAGGTTTAGTTATTTAATTAATGTTCATGGATAAAATCTTCATTGATTATAATTAAATCATAGAGTAGATATGTTTCTGCATATTATATAAAAAAAAGTCATATCTAAATACATTCCGCTCCTATTGATCACCAAACAGACTCATTCCTTACCTTCGTCAATCCCATTCTTCCAAAGAAACATCTCCTGTCCATGGCATCATTCTTTTAGGTTCTCATTCATTGCTTTTGGGATTATTTATGGGTTCAATAATTTCACATGTCTCAGAATTATTTAAAATATTATTAACTTAGTTTTAAATGGCAATAAATTGCTCTTTTGTTTAAGTTTATTATACCCTGATGCACAGGAAGTAATATCTCCATTTGTGTTACTATGCAGAGTTCAGGTTCCTTAAAAGATTGATACTTGTCCATGGGAGATATTCATATAACCGCACCGCATTTCTTTCACAATATTCATTCTATAAATCCTTACTCATATGCTTCATCCAGATTTTGTGAGTTCCCCCCCTTGCAACAACCTATGTTAATCTCTTTCATTCATCCTTATTATTATTATTATTATTATTATTATTATTATTATTATTATCATTATGATTACTACTACTACTGTTTTCATCATTGCTATTTTTGTGTGGCAAGGTTGGGTAGTGACCATTCGTGCAAATTACCCCAAACCATAGGGACCATTTGTGTAATTTATATATATATATATATATATATATATATATATATATATATTCTTTTTAGTTTTAATAGTTATTTATTGGATAATATATTTATCTAAAAATTGTAAAAAATATATTAAATACATGGTTTTAAATTTTTTTATAAATAAAGTATAATATTGATGGATTTTCTATATTTATTTGAAAGTCTGGTATATGATATATATATTTTTGGTTGTGATAGGTTGTTGGTAAATGGTAAAAAATTGAATTTGGTTGGTTGTATGTGTAAATGATAGATAACATATTTATTTTAAGAGTATGAGGAGAGGAGGGGATTCATTGACGAATGCAGTACATGATGTTACCTTTTCTGTCCTGTCTTGTTTCTTTTGTAAGAAACGGAGATGTTATTTCTTATAAGTTATAATATAATTCAACTACTGACTTAAATTGTGTTCAGTTTCTCATTCGTTTCAGGTGTATCTGGCACCAGCCTTTTCAACTCTGTGAGCCTCATGGCTTATAATGTTTTCTACACCAGTGTTCCTGTTCTAGTCAGTGTTCTTGACAAAGATCTCACTGAAAAAACTGTTATGCAGCACCCGCAAATATTATTTTACTGCCAAGCAGGGAGGTTAGTTAGGACTTTGGATGGATTCTTCTTATCATTCATGTCTCAGTTCTGGTTCTAGTTAACCTAACCTTTAATATTCTTCTTCTTAAACAGGCTTCTCAATCCTACTACATTTGCTGGATGGTTTGGGCGTGCTCTTTTTCATGTCAGTGCTATTTCTTAATTACCATTTCATATTGGCGCTTCTTATCTTATGAATATCATCCATCATGTCTCATGACTCATGACTCATGCTCATCATTTTTATTTTATTTTATTTTAAAATGCAAGCAAACATAACCTATGTGGGTAAATAAGCTAATATATTATCCTTCAAAAAAACAAAAACAAAAGAAACTTAATGAAATGCTTTTCTCATCTTCACAGTTAAGAAGCTGATTTGATTTGGTCGACATGACCATGGCATCAATATTTCATTCTTATCCATTGCTATATCTATATATGGCTACTCCATATTTCCCTATTATTTACAGTGGTGATTATTATTTTTTTCAGGCGATTGTTGTGTTTGTGATAACCATACATTCATATGCCTTTGAGAAAAGTGGGTTGGAGGAGGTATCAATGGTGGCACTTTCTGGCTGTGTCTGGTTACAAGCTTTTGTGGTCACATTGGAGACCAAGTAAGTTACCAACACTTGTGATTTCAACTACTAGAATTCATCTTCACCATTTGTATTTGTGAAAATATTTCCCTCTCTTCCGATTCCGACAGAGCAATACATCTATTTTCGATAAATGAGGATGAAAAGGGCATTTACGTCTTTTTCTCAAACCAGTCTCCCACCTTTGGCAGGACAAAAAAGTTGCAATTTTTGTCTCATATACGTAATACAATAATACAACCTGTTCTACTATTCTATCCTGTCCAGTGAGCGTAACACTTGTCTAAAATAAAAAAATTCAAAGATTTATTATATATTTACTTTTTTGTATTTAATAATGTCGTCGAAAAAGAAATGTGTGTGTACACGAATCATGCTGCTTCAAAATAAATTATATGAAACCGAAACTCAGGAAGGATCTCTATCTATGGAAAACATGAAAAAAGGAGTGCAGTAAGTGAAAAGATCTGTTTTTGTGGTTGACGTGAATTAGACTGATGTCCCCATAATAATATAGACGGACTATACAGAAGACAAATAATTGGCATCCATTTCTCATCAAATCCACAAATGTCATTTTAAAATGTAAATAGCCCCGCCCCAGAAAGTTTGTCCGTGGGATAGAAGTCGCAGTTTTTTGTTACACCCCCACCCAAAAAAATAGGCCTTGAAAGCTTGGTAACTGAAACTTATTCACTTTGTTTACCAATTATCAATTATGTGTATGTGTGCAGCTCATTTACAATCTTCCAACATGTTGCCATATGGGGAAATTTAGTGGTTTTCTATATCATCAATTGGATTGTGAGTGCTGTGCCACAATCCGGGATGTACACAATCATGCATCGCTTGTGTAGACAGCCCTCTTACTGGAATACTATGTTTGTAAGTGCATCCATCCATCCCTTTTGCATATTCTTTCTCCTAGTACTCAAATTCCCAGCAAATGGGAACCAATATTAGACTAGACAAAAAGTGCAAGTTTTCATCACTCTCCATCTTTTCTCTTGTGTACTTACTGTGTTGTGTGCAAAAGACAGTAAGGCTATTTTTAATTCTAAAGATAGGAGTTTATTATACCAAAAAATATAACGAATGGACAGATATCTATTGTTCCATATGATGATATATGGTCAAAGAACATTGACTAAAACAAACAAAACGCAACTAAAAAGCTATTTGTTGTGTTGGATATAATTTCAGCTGATAGTAGCTGCTGGGATGGGTCCGGTGCTAGCTTTGAAGTACTTCAGGTACACATACAAATCAAGCAAAATCAACATTCTTCAGCAAGCGGAGCGCTTGGGTGGCCCCATCCTCTCACTTGGAAACATTGAACCGCAGCCAAGATCATTATTATTAGACAATGATCTGGATCTGGCCCCCTTGTCAATTTCTCAGTCCAAGAATGGCCGCAACTCTGTTTTCGAGCCGCTTCTCTCAGATTCACCCAATGCCGTCAGACGCTCTTTCGGGCCCGGGGCTGCATTCGACTTTTTCCCATCCCAGTCCAAATCTTCCACCTATTCCCGAAATAAGGACAAGTAACCCCCACCAATTTTCAGCAATCCACCCATTTTTGTAAAGTTTTTGCATTTTATTACTATTATCAACTCAATTTTCAGCTAACCTATTGCCTTTTTAACACTTTTAAATAATTCTATAAAACTATGCTTGCACCCTGCCGGTGCCTATGCCTTTTCAACAGCTGTAATAATTGTAGGAAACTATGGTCCGGTTTTGTCAAAAAAGAAAAAAAAAAAAATCCTTCGTGAACGACTACGGAAATAAATGATTTTGTAAGAAAAATGTAATTTGTAAAAATTAAAAAATCTTAAAAGACCTGTAAAATCAAATTCATAAAATCTAAAATGTGAAATAAGCACAAAATATAATTTATAAATATAAAACTAAATTTTATAAAACAAAGTTGTAAAATTATAAGAAAATATTATTAAAAAGTTCGTAAAAAATTAATTTTAATAAAAAGTTGTAATTCGGATGTAATCTATAAATTAATAAAACTATGATGATATTACCTTTGTTTTGCGGGAGACTTAATATGTAATTTTTCTATTAGGAAATGGTTATTTTTGTAATTGTTTTAAATACATGTTCTATAAATAGAGGATAATTTTTGTAATTTATTTTCTAGATAGGAGCCAAGCTTACCAACATAAGAAAATCTTAAATATATGGATTGTTAATGTAGAAAAAGACTTCATCCGTAAATTATTGGATAATTTTTATAATTTTTCTTCTATACAAGGATATAACATGTCAACATTAAAAAGTGTTGTGTTTAAAGTCTTAGACCCAAAATATCTACGGACCCAACCAGCCAATAAACATAATTGTTATGTGGTTAAAATATGAAACCCAAAAATTGTAGAGACTAAATATCCGAATATACCAATTTTTTTTGGGGAAATGATTATTGAGGGTAATTAACTTTTACGTTTGTATTCATTTGGTCATTTTTTTTTTGTATTCAATATACTATCAAACTTGTTATTTGAGTTCACCAAAATCCTTTTGACCGGTTTTTGACCTGTGATAGCCGGTCAAAGGGTTATGGTGAACACAAACAACAAGTTTGATGGTATATTGAGTACAAAAAAGAAAAAGAAAAGGGGCCAAATGAGAATAAATGCAACAGTTGGTTACCCTCCTGATTCATTTTCCTTTTACTCATTTACAACAAATCCCACGTCATCCCCTACTGATACTAATGACTTTATGAGATTTATTCTTGCTTCTCTTCAAAACATAACCCACGAAAGAACATTATTCATACATGTACAACTTTGTAATGCACTTGAATATTTATTAGGAAAATCTTGACTAAGCAGTCGCATTTCATGACTATATTTACATTTCCAATCAAATGATTTATCGTATCATGGATTCTAAACAAGTCTACAAACGAGTGGAATCACAAGTGTTGTGATTTTTGAGTTTACTTAGCTTTAAGATCGAATTCATGGGATAAGATACAACATCAATATGTACAATATCATGCTGCTTTTGTAGATACATCACATAATATACATTGAGATAAACGTTTATGCTGATAAATATACCTCTCATACACAGTCATATCCTTTTGCAGAGAGGTGTTGACAGCTAACCACAATAAGCATAACGTAGACCATGTTTTAACAAGGTTACCCCTTTGAAACGCTCTTTATACACGTTATAACCAAAGAAGGTTGCAATCTTTGATAATTTTGCAACTTTAATTTCATTTAAATTTTCGGGGAAAATAACTCAGGAGGGTAACCAACTGTTGAGTTCGTTCTCATTTGGTCCCTTTCCTTTTTTTGTACTCAATATACCATCGAACTTGTTGTTTGTGTTCACCATAACCCTTTGACGGCTATCATAGGTCAAAAGCCGGTCAAAAAGGTTATGGTGAACGCAAACAATAAGTTCGATGATATATTGAATACAAAAAAAAAGGAAAATGACAAATGAGTACAAACGCAAAAGTTAATTACCCTCAAGAGTCATTTTCCCATTTTTTTGTGGCCAAATTCTCAAACCAAAAAAGTCCACTTGTAACATCGGATTTCAGGATGTTTCTTATTTAGAAATATCCGACTTTATTTTAGTCAAGAATAAAGTTTAGACCTTAAAGTATTGTGATTTTGGGCTAAATGCACAAGACTTATAACTTAAAGGGTTAGTTTTAGGTTGTGAACGGTTTGGACTTATGCTGATTGGGCCTTGTTGGACCAGGCGAATCACAGCGCAACACGTAAACTCAGGCTAAAACTGAAAAAACAGAAAGTCGAAGGGCCTTAGAAATTTAGGCGGGACTTAACCGGGTCGTGTATTATAACACGTTTGAAAAATAAGAAAAATAAAAACAAAAGAGATGTTAGGTGCTAACGGTAACCAATTAATTATATTGGTTGTAATGAATAATGTTCTTAATTGTAATAAATATATAATAATAATGGATTATTATGGATAATGTTAACCAATTCATTATATTGGTTGGGGGTAAATTACAAATTTGGTATATTGTGACGTTTGATGCAACTCCGCTTGTGTGGTCTAATCTCGACCGATCTCCACACATCTTCATCAAAAGTGTGACAATCGTCAATCTTGAGTCAAGTCAAGTCATCAAGTCAAGATCGGTCAACTCGATTAAACCTTGTGTATTAGGGTTTGTGTTATGTTCATACTGTATAACTTGCTATATTAATGGGAAAACATCACTTGAGAAAAGTCTTGTGTTAAAAATTTCCTAAACCCTAGTTCTAATCAATGAACTAGACCGATAAAACAATGTTGCATACTCATCGGGAATGTGTAAGATCCTTAAACAAGGCTTAATAGGGTTCACGAACCATGCATTTCGATGCCGGACACTCACAACTATCCCACATGGAACCTCTCTCAATCGTTTCCACACTATCTCTCTCTATGTCAAACCTCTCCCAAATCTCTCCAAGTATGCGAAATCTCTCTCAAATATCTCTCTGTATTAGAAATCTCTCCAAGAATGTCAAATCTCTCCCAAATCCCTCTAAGTATGTGAAAACTCTCGCAAATATCTCTTTGTATGAGAAATCTCTCCAAGAATGTCAAATCTCTCCCAAACCTCTCCAAGTATGCGAAATCTCTCTCAAATATCTCTCTGTATTAGAAATCTCTCCAAGAATGTCAAATCTCTCCCAAATCCCTCTAAGTATGTGAAAACTCTCGCAAATATCTCTCTTGTATGAGAAATCTCTCCAAGAATGTCAAATCTCTCCCAAATCTCTCCAAGTGTGAGAAATCTCTCCGAATCTCTCTCAAATAGTTCCCGTAACTTTTTAGAATCATCCGGGTCATTCCGACGCTTAACCGTGTCAAAAACAGCTTAAAACGGGGTAAAAACGAGAAAAATAGACATTAGGAACCGAAACCTCTCGAGAAGAGAGAAGCTTCTTAGGACCCGAAGGTCCTCTTAGGGACTGAGAGCCGAACCAAACCCTCCTGAGCCGAACCGAACCCGAAGGCACTGTTCACCACTAACCGAAACCGAAGCCTGCTCAAGAGGAACCGAACCAAAGGTACTGTTCACTAACCGAACCGAAGGTACTGTTCACTAACCGAACCGAAGGTACTGTTCACTACTGTTCACTACAGTCCGTTCGGTTCTGACATTCTCGCCTCTTATTCCCGAACCGAACCCCACCCTCGCTACTGACCCTTCGGACCGGACCCTCGCCCATCACTTCTCGCGTCTGACTTGCGCCTTTCGCTTCCGACTCCAACCTCAGCATGGACCGAGCCTCGGCCTAGGGACCGAACCTCGGCCTAGGACCGAGAGGTCTCGCTGGGAACTCATTTTCTCCCGGTTTTCGCGTAGTTTTGCGTTTAAGGCCCGTTTTTAATTATTTTAACGTGGGAATTTCACCCAAAATCATATTTTAACATAATAAACCCTAAATATTCACAATTTAATCATATTTTCATAAAAATCTTTATTTAAATAATGAAAGCAAGTGGGTAAAGTACAAAGAGGTGGAGTGTTGACTTTGCTTTACCTTATAACACAAGCAACCACTCCCACACCCACTCTATGACCAGCCACACCTCCCCACCTTACCTAGGTCACATCAATGTCCTTTCCACTCAATTATCACTCTTTCCCACGTTTTTGAGAGCTGAATATTCATCCTCTCTTCTCACTTCTCTCATTTGCTCTCATTTCACAAGAAGATCAAACTCATTCCTCTCTCACTTTCTCTCTCTAGAAATTCGAGATTCAAGGGCTGATCTTGAGTTTTTCCTCCACATTTGGTAAGCATAATCCATTCTCTTTATGATTATCTCATTATTTCCACTCAAATCATGGATATCTTAACAAACTCTCTCATAATTGTGTTAGATCTTCGAATCTTCAAGTGATTCTTCAAGTGTTCTTGGGTTGAACACTTATCTTCTTCAACACTTACCTACTGAAATCACTTAAGGTGAGTTCATACCCCTACATTTTCATGTTTTCTCAAGTTTTCAGGGGGGAATACAAGTTAAAACACTAAGAACATAATTAAAATTTTCTAACAGCCTTCATCAGAAAAGTTCAACTCCATTCACGGACTGTTTTGGGCATCTTAAACATTTTTGTTTTCAAAACTGTACAAGGTGCAAATAGTTCAAGTTTGTAGCTTTAAAATGACTACTTGCACATCTCCATACGATTTTTCTACAATTTATGGTGATTTTTACAAAACTGCCTATCATTTCAAACAACAATCCGGACCAGTCTGTGATTATGGACATTTTCACCCAAGTTGGAGGTCATTAAAAATCGTGATAAAAATTATGAGTAAACTAGACACATTTTGTGAACTCTCAGAATTTACGGATCTAGTTTTCGACTTCGTATGATTTTTCTATGATTTTTCCAAAACTGGGCAGAATTGCTAAAGTTAGCCAACAGCATGTAAATATCATAACACTTTGTAATATGTTGAGCAAAGTGTATAATCATAAGTTCTAATATTTGAATGTGTTTCCTTGTTAGTTTATCATTGTGAACTGAA